TAACTGCTCCTGTGTATAGCAGAAAAGCCACAGATGCCAGATACCTTGGTCTGAGAAAGACTTCTAACAGCGTCTCACATGACCTTGTGTCTCACAAGCAAGTCACAGAATAACACAAATGGATGAGTACACAACCGGGTGTAAATTGGACCCAGAGAATGTTTAGCAAGAGTACAATGTTACCTTGGCTGGACACATCAAGCAGAATTCTGCAGGAGCATCTCCGTAGCACCAATTTGATATTTTCATTAAATAATTTGGAGGGCAGAACAGGAAACTCGCTTACCAAAGCCACTGGCTGGGAGGGGCAGCAAGTGTTGGAGGATGGGGCTAGGATCTCAGTGAACTCAGCAAATGACAGTCGGGGAAAAGCAAGTGATTTGAAGGACACGCTTCCACTCTCGGCAGAATTACCAGCATCACAAATGCAGGCTGTGGAATCACTGGTCCGATAGCATCACCGTATAAACACACTTGGTGGTTAGCACAGGTCACAACCCAAACAGGAGTCAGCCATGCCACTACAAAAAAGGCAAACAGCACCGGGGGCTATAGAAAAAGGAATATTGTTTGCCAGGCAAATGAAGCTGTTCTTCTGTTACGCTCGGGGCTAGGAAACCTTCGGTTGGAGTATTGTATTCTGCTTTGGTTAGAATAGAGAATTCAGAGTTTTTATGAGGAAATGTGAGAGGAATCGGAATGGTTTGTCCTAGAGAAAGGGGAGACCCAGTGGGGGGCCCCTAAATATGTGCACTGTATTTCTAAGGGAGAAGGCAATAAAGTCATCTCATCTGCTGGAAAGGCTCAGTGGGCAACAGAGATCTGGGTTAGACTTTAGAAACGGTTTCCTCATGGTGCAGATGAAAAAAACAGCTAGAGAGATTACTGTGGAGTGTCACAGCCTTGGTTTCTGAGTTTTAAAGCGTAGATTGGACAACTATCTATCAGAAATTATCTAAATATAATTGATCCTGGTTTTTGGGCGGGAGGATGGAGACAGTTCCCATCCCTGTTTTTCTGATATTCCTGCCTGGAGCCAATGGTCATAGTTTAGACATCTAAGTCAGTTGTCTAAATTATACATTGTCAATACCAGCTAATTATCCTCCCGAGACTCTTGCTTTCCATTTCTGTTTAATAGACCTTTAGGAAAAAAATCTTAGCGCACTGTCAGTAATTCGAATGAGAAGCAGCTATAAAGTAGGCTGGAACCACGCTATGCAAACCTGTGTTTTCCAGGTCGCAGGCTTCTTTTGAGCACATACCGCCAGCTCTGCTCATGTTTAAAGAGGTTATGATCTGGAGACCTGTCTGCCAGACATCAGGAGGACTCCAGTGCATTTAGTGAAGGTTGTACCGGAACATCCATTTAACTTGCTGCAGAAAGGATGCTGGATGAAAAGGGGAAAGGAAAACACAGACGAATATTACTCATTCAGAAAATGCTAAAACTCCGGCTCTGAATAGCCTTTGATATTTGACCTCTGCAGACAGCCTGTAATTAAGACTCTAATCCTTTAAACACTCACACACACTTAACTTAAAGTTAATAGGATTAGTCACATGCCTGAAGTGTGCATGGCTGGGGCGAAAAACTGTTGTTGGGTACAGCTGATTACAAACTTGCAACACAGATACTTTCTGGTCGAATACTGTCTTGTATTTTCAAAGTCTTTTCTAAACAGTTCTAGTCCCAAGTAATGAAGATATTTATTAAAAATAAAACTCCAGTTCTTGCTTAAAAATATGTACACAAAAAATATAAATTGATCTGAACTTTTTCAGAGGCAGAAATTACCTGGTCTTGGGAGATTTGAGAGGAGGTACTTTGGGTTTCTGGAAGACGTGGGTTTAAATTCACTTACTTTTACGTTCTTTCAAAGCATTTTGAGATTAAACATGCACAGAATCAGACAGATCAGAGAGGTACAAAAAGAGGAAGAAACATTTTCTATCTTAATTTTTATTTCACAGAAATAACAGTTTGGCTTAAAAGCACGAAAGTTGTTTCTTCTCTTGACGCTGACAGACCGGCTGTACTTGGGGACCCTGGCAAGCTTAGTCTGGATCAATTCACCACACTGCAAACGTACGCAAAGCTTATGAAGAGTGAACACAATCTGGGAAGTGATTTAGGATACAAGGACAGAGCTGTAGGGCACACACTGCACGGAGGCCCCCATTTGTTGTTGCACATCTGCCAGAAAAAGCACCTGGCCCACACCAAGGCACTGCACGGACGTGTAACATAGGCTAGACCTAGGTCTGAGTGCTATGGGTGCGACCCGGGAATCCCGAAGCAGCTCAGCGTTGCTTGCTCCTGCCCCGTAAAATGCCCGCAGCATTCACTGGCACAGCACTATTACTCCTCCCTTTGGCCCCAAGACGGATGTAAATTCTCTCCGCTGAAGGACCTGCAGTATCGCAGGACTGTCATATGCAGGAAAAGGTAATGACTGTGATTAAAGGTGTCCACAAAGTGGCACGCAATAAACAACTGCAATGCCACCCCCTGGCCCGGCTGTAACTCCTCCTTCAGATACAGGGAGAGATTTCCTCCGCTCATCTTCAGGACTGCAGTCAGCAGAACAAAGACTGCATTTAGCCAAGTATTCCTGCCAACCCTAACATGGACCGAAGTGAGCAAACACGAAAGCCAAAGAGCAACAACCCTCGCTCTGCCAATATGTTGTTGTTCTGCAGGGATCTGAGTCATACTAAAAGGCCTCTCCAGGAAGGGCGCAGTGGAGATACAAGAAATTCAAGACGGAGCAGGGAAATTCTGATTAAAGAAGCATCACACCAGCGATGGGGCGGCAGATAAGACTACCAGAAAATGGCGTCGTATCCTTTTTGACAGCACCACAAGCGGTAACAGCATGCCAAAAATGAGGGAAAAATCGGTGAACCAAGTCTGCCTCTGAAGAGCGACTGACTGAAAGTCTTAAAATTAAAAAAATACGTAAACTGAAAATTTAAAGTAACACTATAAAGAGGGCAGAAAGGAGAAGAGGTGATCTAGGTCTGGGTCAGAAGTAAAGAGTCAGTGCAGTGTCTTACGGAGATCAGAATTAAAACGGGAAGAGCGAGCAGGATGAAGTTCTTACAGGACAAGGGGCTAAACCAGGCCCACGGCCCAGGAGAGAGCACCAGGAGACTGGGGGGAGTGTCCACCCTGCACAGAGAGACGCCATGCAGAGACACCAGAGCCAGCACTACAGACGCGGCTTCAGATCTCCTGCAGTTCAACAGCTACAAAAGCCCTGCGAGTTAACTGGTGTGGTCCCTCACTCCAGTAAACTGTCCTGTTCCTCCCCGCAATGAGGGCCGCGCCGGGCGTCTTTCCACTGGGCTGCGACACGGCTTACGGCTACAGCCAGAAAGGAATTTCACACACAGAACAAACAAAGTGAGGGCAGCGAAGAGGTGAAGGAAGACTGGAAAGCGCAGGAACCTGGAGGAACTGAAAGTGGAGAGCGGTCAGCCAACAGCGATGTTAACGAAGAACTGATGTTAAAGAAACGAAGAAAAAGCAGCTTCCTTTCAGCGCCTGGGTTCCTCCGAGCAGCGGCGCGGGGCAGAGGGATTTTTGTCGGGCGGCCCTCAGCAGAACAGCCGACGGCCGAGGCCAGGGAGGAGCCCCCAGCCAGCCGGCA